AAAAGAGCGTTTACAACGAATAAGAAGTTCATTAATTGTTGCAGCAGAAACATCCCAATACATGACCGAGATTAGTATTGTTTGCAAGAATATTCAGTGTTTCAAGAAACGTCGAAGTATGACAAATTAATCTTAGAAACATTCATTCCACTTACGTTCGACAACGCTCGGATGCGATCATTGTAGTTAAAGAACCAATGAGAACATCACGCATTCATTAGTTGACCAAAAGTCAAACAAGAAACAGTTGATTTACTTTTACAAACTTGTTTGCGAAATTCCTATTGTCAACATGAGTTGTACAAGTAACATCGAGATCAAGAACCAAAAGATTATTCCATATCTTCACGAGATCATCAAACATTTGCCTGTCACACGAAAGTTTTCCAATTTATCTACCCAAATTTGTTGAAAACTCAGTTACAAACAAACTTCAAGTTTACAAATCCAAATTACTATCACAATCCTTCAAGTACATCTCATCATTCGACAGTTCTATTCTATCACTGACAAGCAACAAATGTCTATTGCATATTTTGATGAAATTGTTTCGAGTGTTTCTGTTTTTGCATTCAAATGAAGACTCTTTTTGAACTTCTTATAAATCATTTCAACCTTCGTAACGAAATGCGAGAATGTGTTTACTGATTTACTTGTTACAAACATCAGTACTATTTTGTCTACAATACACCAAAAAACACCACAATCATTTATTTCATTCCATGGCAAACACAGTGGTTGTTTACCACGAATTCCAACACATTTCATCAACAAAGGATTCACTTATTGCTTCGATTTGAACTTTCTAGTAACTATCTTCAAAGGTGTAATCATCAACCACGATTGTTTCAATGAAGAACATCAACGGCAAAACACTTAAATCTATTTCGAAGACAACAGATTAGTTGTTACATACAACGCCATCAAGACACTTGGCATCCACGAGACAACTATCGAACTTTCACCACACACGTGGATCACATTGTTGTATATTCATAGAACGTCGTTTGTTGAAGTTATTGTTCTTGGTAATCTTTGTGATACATATGAAATCACAGGAATGAAAATTCGAATCAGACATCGAATCTATGACTATTTGTAACACAATATTATCAGAGCTTAAATATGAAGAACCATTAATTGCAAACCTTTCATGCGTGTACATGTTTTCAACCGCTCTTTCAGCAGAACAATCAAAATGATTCCGATCTTCCTCTTGATTTTGTTTACGGATTCCATCCAATATTACAGAAACTTTTCCCAAACTTACCATCATCACTTTTCACGAACAAATTTCAGACTTCTATGTTGCATGTTTATGAATTCACGATTTGATTGAAACAACATCTGTGTCAACAACTCGAAGAAAGACATCGGTAACGCAAAAGTTATTGTGTGTTATTCATTTTCTACATCACTTTGCGATGTTTTGTTGAATCTTGGTGGTTTGAAAACATTTTTACATTGTTCAGCGAAGTCGAACTTCCATGTTTCGATCAATTACGAACAAGATTCAAGTAGATTTTTAGTTCATTTGATTGAGATGGTTGTTAATTTCTGCAACACATCTGCTGAGATCAAAACTGATTTCTTTGAAGATGATGGTTTGAAGTGCATTGCATTCTTACTTTCTAAGATGAATCCAGAGACTATAACTGAAAATTTGATCACAAATTTACAAAAACTATTTGACAAACTTTCTAACAAGAAATACATCAAACTTATGATTGAAGACATCTGGTTCAATTATTTCTTTGATTGGATTACAGAGTTCAACAATTAAACTTTGTTTCATCAAAGTTTGTTCTGATTTAATTCATGGTGTTTACTCCAATTAGTTTCTGAAGTTGTTAATGTGTCGATTGATGTTATTTACTATTTCCGAAAAAGACGAAACGTTCGTAAATCACTATGGAAAGTTATTCGTTCAGCAAGCAAAATCAAGTTGACATGGAAGACAAAAAGAGTGTTCTTCAACCTTTGTTTCAGCTTAAACATCTCACAGATGCGTATCAATTGATGTATGTTTTGTATAACTTATTGTGTAAAAAACTATCATGGTATTTGCGACAAAATTTGTTGCATTTGGTTTTTACACACCATTTTGTTAGTATGATGTCCAGTGATAGTGAAGAACTTCGTATCATCTCATTCAAGTTCATGTTCTCATCAAGACATTGGAAGACACCGGTTGTTATTACACGTCAAAGTTCCATTTGTTTTGAAGATTCATTTTTGAAAGTTATTTACAATTACAATCCAGAAAACATCACAGAGAGTACATGTCCGTTGCAACACAAGCATTCCTTGATTCTCCTTCATATCAAACTGCCTTGATTCCATATAATTTCATTTATTTCACAGTTTCTACAAATGGTCACGCATTGAAAAAAGTTCTTCAACACAATCGACCAAAATACAATGACAGTCACATCTCCTATTTTACATTCATTTAGTAAATGCGAGATTTGGTATTTTTGGATATTCTACACTATGGTCAATGCTAGTTATCCAGAATACAATGTTAACAACAACTCTGTTTTTCTGCTATTTATTCGAAAGTTTTGATTTATTTCATCAAAAAAACAATATTGGGACAAATTTTATGAATTCGAAGCGTTTTTCTTGATCTTGAGAAAACAGTTAAACTTAACACACCATTTATCTTGAAATACATTTACCACAAACTTCTTAAATTATTACAACTTTTCTCAACAGTTTCAAATGAAGAAATCAATTTTGTTTTTACAGAAATTTTTGAATATGTGTTATATTCCAGACACAGAAATTTTCTACAACAATGTTTCATTGAAATATTGTATGGCGAAAGTCTTGAAGAACCACTTTACATCTGTTATTGACTCACAAACACCATGTATCGACATCTTATCACAAATTTGTTCAGTTGCATGACACACAAGGTTAATTTCTCCGTTCGTATCGATCCACGTCGTGGTGGCTATTCCATTAAGTGGCCAAGTTGTAATCCTATAAATGGTGGACATCAAAGTTGCACGTCAATTAATTGGTTTCATGACTAAATTCGCTAATCTTCGCGATGGAACATACAAAAGTTCAAAACAGGAAGATTCAAATACTCAGAAATCATTTCATTCATGCTTGGTTTCATCATTCAATCATCACATCAAAGATCACAAAAATCTCCGGCTTTTTGAAATCGTTGGATTTCGACACAGAAACTAACTTCGAAATTTTCTCATATATGCAGTATTTTGTGCTATCCGAACATACCAAAAGGATGCATCGTACCGTAAACAAGTTAAGATTTACTTATTGGATGCAAGTCAATCATCTCCAAAGTTATTTTAAATGGTCAACCACTTGAAGTTCACAACATTTTGGAAGATTCCGATATTATGTGCAAATCTTTGAAAGCACAAAAGATATTATTTCAATTTAGAGCAAACACTTGAAGACAACAAATTAGATATTTCGAAACAGACATATTTAGATCAAGTCTACCAGAAGTCTAAGAAACACGAGAAATCATTGTTCAAACACCACACTTTTTGTCAGACAATGTTCTTAAAAATGTTTTGCGTAAGAAAGAAGAATTCAAACAACAAATTTATTCACATTCGATTTCATGCATGAATCACACGCAAATCTTTTCAAAGACTTGAAATCTAATGGGTGGTCCATGGTCTACTACAGGCGAAATCAAACATTGGAAAGTTTCTAAAGAACTTGATGACCAATATCGACAAATTTTCATGCGTCCTAATCTTAAATTTGATATACACATGAAAGCATCATTGATGCGTGATGGCACTACTGCTGAAGCTGCGCAATCTAAGTACGAACGATGGCTTGACGCCAACAGATCAACATTATTGCAGAAGACGAAGAAGTTTCACAACAAGAAATGAAGAAACTACAGAAACAACAGAAAACCGTGATTTCTCATTCTTCACAACAGCACAAATGATCACAATCAAGAAAACATATGAAGGTACATTTTATGTTAATAAGAACGAACTTAGTTTCAACGATGACAACAAGAAATCAGTTACAATCAAACTCTCAGATCTTAAGATGGTTTTACACAGATCTTATTTGCACATTGATTTCCGTCTTGAGTTCTTCATGAAGAACAACAAATCAGTCTTCATCTATTTTCCTAAAGGCGACAGGAACAAAGTTCTTAAACACTTGAAGCACTCCAAACTTCATGATATCGAAATCCTTCAGTACAAGAAACAACATCCGTGAGTGGGATCGACAAATCTACATACGACTGGCAGAAAGGTTTGTTGTCTAACTACGAATACTTTGATGAAACTTAATTTGTTTTCAGTCGTTCATTCAATGATTTAAGTCAATATCCAATCTTCCCATGGGTTTTGAGCAACTACACAGCGAAAGTATCGATCTTAATGATCCTAACAACTACCGCGATTTCAGTAAACCAGTTGGTGCATTCAATCAACAACGTCTTGAAAATCTTCAAGAATTGTTAGCCGAATACGATGATGTGCCGTTGATAAATGTTTGTATCGATTCCATTATTCTACTGCTTTCTATGTTGTCCACTTCCTTGTTCGTGTTGAACCATACACAAGTATCCACATCGAGTTACAAGATAACATGTTCGACAATCCAACCGAACATTCCGATCTATTCCATTCTGTTGGAAAGAATATTACATCTACAGCACCAGACTTCCGTGAACTTATTCCACAGTTTTTCAGTCTTCCAGAGATGTTGATTAACCAGAACAAATTCGATTTAGGCAGTACACAAGATGGCAAACAAGTTAATGATGTTGAATTACCACCATGGGCTAAATCAGCAGCTGAATTCATCCAAATCAACCGTAATGCATTGGAATCCAAATATGTTAGTGAACACTTGCATTTATGGATTGATTTGATCTTCGGCTACAAACAGGACAGGTAAAGAAGCCATCTTGGCTAACAACACATTCCATAAATACTGTTACCCATCATCAATCACTAAAGAAGTTCTTAAGAATCCAAATGAACTCAAAACAATCCAAATTTACGCATCTAATTCAGGTATTGTTTCCTCGCCAAATCTTCAATTATCCACATCCTAAGCGTATCTACACTCGTCAGATGTCTATCACTCGTCTTATGCTTTTAGGTACTAAACTTTGTTGGAACATTCTTATGAAATTCAAATCACCAGTTGTTTTCATCGGTCAATCTAATAATTCCATTCCAATATTGACCGCACAAAGTGATTTCCTTTCTATTCCTTTGTCATCCAAATGGCGAAGTTCAGTTCAAGACAACAGTATCAAACAAGTCCCTCTTGCAACAATCAAGAAATATGTTACATTGGCAGATACAGAACATAATTTCTTTGTTATCACAAGTCGTAGTTTCGAATACATCCAAGAAAGTTGTTTATTTGTTGCATCATCTCCATGGGATTCCACATTTCATGTCTTCAAAGTTGAATCGAATTCAGCACATTACATTTACTCACAGCGTCAGAACAGCTCATTGATCTCCGGTGTTACAAGCAGCCACAAGAAAGGTTTGATTGTCACTCGTTGGCAAGATTCATCTATTTCCGTTTGGGATGTTGAGAAACCACAACAAAACTGTTTCCTTTACCGAATTCAACCACATTTGACATCATTAGTTGATGTTGATGTTTGTTCTAACTTGAACATCATTGTTTCACTTGACAAGTCACGTACTGTTATCATGACTAAACTTTCAAGTGGTCATTACATGCGTCATTTCATTGTTGAAGGTAATGATACATTGAAGAAATTGTTGATTGTTTCAGCCGGCTACATCATCATTGCAAGCGAATCATCAACTAATGGTCGTTTTACAAGCACATTTCGATGCTACACATTCAACTCCATTCTTTTGAAGACATTTTCATATGAATCAACATTGTCATGTCTTGCATGTATCAAATCATCAACATCTCCAATGCTTGTTGCATCATTTTCGGATGGCCATTTCTCATTGATCGAAATTCCACAGATGCTTGAAATCATTTCTACTAAGAAATTCACGATGACAAACATTGTTTATAACGAAGAACATAACTGTTTATTTGCATCTGATTCTAATGGCAACTTATTATATTTAGACCTTTAATTTTTATTATTTTATTCTTTATTATTTTGATATATTTTATTCTTTTGTTTATTTATGGTTTCACTAAATCTATTTATTTTACAAATTCCTGGTTATTGTTTTTATTATTCATCTTTAAGGATGAATTCGTTAAAATTTATTGTTGATTAGAAGATGTTGTTTATATCAAAATTTATTTAGGAAAAATAAAAACAAAACAAACGAAGATATTAAATTTATTTTTTTCTTTGAAGTTAATTTTAATTTCTTCTTTTCTTCTGTTTCTGCCTTTTTTTCTTCTGGAAATTCTAGTTTTAGTTTTGCAAAACATAAAACTGAAGACAAATGATAGTTTTCTGGATAAATTGAACCTAATTCTTCTGTAATTATGACGTTTCCGATTTTAATAGGATCTGAGATGTCAAAATAACATCCTTTAACTATAATTTGTTTGGAGTCTGTGGAAAAGTATCTTTCATTAATATTATTTTTATTTTAAAACTGCAATTATTGATAAAGAGATCATGAAAACTGATAATAAAGTAATTGCATTCATTTTCAAAGAAATTACAAAAAAGAATTTTAAATTTAAGTGAATCAGATAATGCTGTAACATATATTTCATAAATATCTTCAAATGTAGTTGTGTTGTTTGAAAATGTTGAAAGCGTTACATTGAGTTAGAACTATATACAACATTGTAAATATATCGTAATAAGTTTTGAGTTTGAAATATTGATTGATTTCATATTTATTTCCCCACTGACAAACACAATATTATCGTTTTCATCTGGATTTTCTTGGCCACTTGAAGTAATGGTTGAATCAAGGAGATAATTCTTATTTGGAAATTCATCTGAAACTTCAATATAGCAATATGCACCTGGATTGACCGTGTTGGAGCCAAAGCTGCAGATTCTGTCTTGAACACAGTCACCTTTAAACAATCACATATAAAGAGCCACCTTCTTCTCTTGTGCATACATTTGTCAAATGAGCTTGTTCAATGAGGAATTTGAGATTTTTGCCAGTTCCTTCTGTGAAACGCACTGCACAAACTAAAGAAAGAAGAAATGTAATAACTATTTGGTGAACTATATTCGAATTTTTGATGCTTCTTTTCGAATGTTGTTATTTGATTGATGATTCGAAGAAGTCTTCCCATTCCTTGTGAGAAATAGAGAGAAATATACGGAATGATGAATTATTCTAAGCGAATATATTATCACTTCAATCATCATTTCAATCATTCTTTACTTGGAATGAAAATAGAAAATATCAATATTTCGAAAGCTTTAAATTTTTTTTATGAAAATATTGTAAATTGTAAAATTTCGGATTAATAGAATACAACAATGCATCATTTTGTATTATAACTTATTTCCCCTATAGATGCACGACGATAGCCATAATTATGGCGACCCGCTCGCCGAGCACCTTTTGACGTTCGCGCGTTAGGTTGTACAAACTGGCACAATTTTGCGGCCGCCTGCCAGGAGCTGGCACGCGGCCAAAATCAAAAAAGTGGCCAAAAATCGGGCCTCGTGGCGGTGGAAAGGGTGGAGGTCGGAGAGTTAAGATCTGGTTAGTAAGGTAGTAATGAGAGTTAAGATTCTGGTTAGTAAGGTAGTAATGAGAGTTAAGATCTGGTTAGTAAGGTAGTAATGAGAGTTAAGATCTGGTTAGTAAGGTAGTAATGAGAGTTAAGATCTGGTTTAGTAAGGTAGTAATGAGAGTTAAGATCTGGTTAGTAAGGTAGTAATGAGAGTTAAGATCTGGTTAGTAAGGTAGTAATGAGAGTTAAGATCTGGTTAGTAAGGTAGTAATGAGAGTTAAGATCTGGTTAGTAGTAGTAATGAGAGTTAAATCGTTAGTAGTAGTAATGAGAGTTAAGATTTGGTTAGTAAGGTAGTAATGAGAGTAAGATCTGGTTAGTAAGGTAGTAATGAGAGATCTGCGGCAGTAATGATACATCTATGAGTACATAACTAAAACCTGAGTTCTATGAGCGAAATCTGAGAGCTAAAAGCCGAGAGATCTAAGGTAAGTAATGAGAGAAGAGAATTTGAAATTTTACAAAATACGTTTACTCATACAAAATAATTCGCATTCTTTTATAACGAATCTCAATGCCAATTAATACATAAAACAGATTTTAGCAATCAATTGCAAGATTTAGAAAGATTTTATTTATAATCTCAGCCAAATTAACAAATATTTTATTGATTTCGTAAAATAGCAATAAAACATAAAAATATGACATTCTATTTATAATCCAAGGTGATGTGATTTTTGCATCCCTGGATGGACGATACACCCAAAGTGTCACCTTTTTAGGATAACATGAATTTGAAATATCATGAGAGTTCTGCAAACCATATGCACAATATCTATTCAGCCTGACTTCTTGTATTATATGAGTTAGACTTCTTAAATATTGTGCTTGAGGCGATATAAGCATTTCCGAGATTACCATCGTGCTCTATAGTATGCTACTTCTCCCTGGTTCTAGCTCAGTTCCAAGGATATTGGCGTTCAAGGATTTGGCAAGGTCTTCCGAATTCTCTCATTCGATGAGAGATTTCGGAAGAATCTTGCCTTAAAGTACTCCAACTCTTGTTCTTTTGTTCCTAAATAGTGAGAAAAGTTATTTGACTACTTAAGGTAGAGATTATCCGAGGTCCTCATTTGATGAGAGGCTCGGATAATCTCTGCCTTAAAATTGTACACTTGTAGTCCATGAGAGTGTAAGTATACATTGATAGGACAGCTTTCTTCTGAAGTCTTAGATTTGATGAGAACCTCAGAAGAAAACTGTCCTATTTTATAGTAAAAGGAGTTTCAGGAGCTCCAAAACTCCCTTTCGTAAGGATTAGGAGCTTTGGAGCTCCTGGTTCGTAGATGTGTTTCGCATCTTTCATCAGCAAAGGACATTTACCATCTGGGACTCTGTTGATGGAGACTCAGGAGCTCCAAAGCTCCCTTTAGTAAGGATTAGAAGCTTTGAAGCTCCTGGTTCGTAGACGTGTTTCGCATCTTTCATCAGAAGAGGCCCAAATGGTAAATAGCCTTGCTGATGAGCTTCAGGAGCTCCAAGGCTCCCCTCTCGTAACGATTAGGAGCTTTGTAGCTCCTGAAGGTAAGGTAGGATTGCTCTGATCTCTAATCAGTAGATGCCATGCCTCATTATGAACTCTACTGACAAGAGATCAAGAGCTCCAAGGACTCCCTTTTGAGTTAGTGGCGTTCTCACCATTTAGTAGGATTGCTGATCCTACTAATGAAGTGATCACTTAGTATACGTTTTGAATAAATTGAATTTTTTTTAGAATTTAGTATTTTTTATAGACATCATATGTATATTATAAATACATAAATATATTCTTTAATTCAAAAAATTCAATTCGGTTTTGGGATGGGTATCCCAGCCCCAAGTATTCAATTTTATTCAATTTTTTAAGAATTTTGGGTTGGGATGCCCAGACCAAAACAAGCTTTATATTTTTGATGTGTAGATACGTATGTTGTGCATCATTGTTGTGTATATGTTATGTTTTTAATGAAAAAAAAAATCTGATTCAAAAAAATTATCACTAATTATTGATAATATAAAGAAAAAAATAGATAAATTGTATGTTTTGAGAGTATTTATCTACATTCACTCATATGAATTTCATTAAATAGTGTCTTTTTACTCCCAAATTTATTTTGAATTATTGAAATTAAAGAAAAAAATTAGAAAATTTCTCGAAATTTTTATTTCAAAAAAAATTTGGATTTTATATTGAAAACTGACACTGGAGGACGATAGGGCTGGGATTGGAGTAACCCGCTCACTTGGGAAAAATACGGATCTATAATTCTATTTTTCCAAAAAAAATTTCAAAAATCATTTTTTAACATGAAATTTATATTTTTTAATTTTTTTTTTAAATTTTGAATTTTTTTTTGGAATTTCAACCATGTCAAAAGTCGGGATCTACAAATGTATTCTCTTTGACATAGGATAAAAACATCCTTTCTTATAATTTCATTGTAAAATAAAATTTTCTTAAATTTATTGAATCCAAACTCAACTTTGCAACATTTTATTATCATAAAAATAAGAAACATCAGGTAAACTTCAATTTGGAGAGCTTAAAATCATATCTAAATTGAAAAATAAGGGGAAAAAATTGTAAAAAAAAATCTCATTAGATGGGGCAAAAAGTGACTTTTTTAATGTGTTTTTTAAAAAAATCGTGCCAGCTGGCCAAAAAAGGTGTGCCAGCAGGCGTGCCAGTTTGTACAACCCTATCGCGCGTTTCGCGCTCGCAACGATAGAGAGTTAAAGTAAAAATAATAAATTTTCTATGAAAAAAATTATAAATTTGAATTTTTTTTGAAAGAAAAAATATTAAAAACAAAGAGGACTTTATCGATATAATATCATCAATTATACATACTCTATTTTAGGGATGCGTTAAACACGCCATTTGACCGGGCGTACATTTTTTTGTTCGCCCAAAAATTTCGCCATTTGAGAAATTCAAAAATTAAAAATAAAATTTTAATCTTGATTTTTTTATTCGTGATTTTTTTTGAAACTTACATAAGCGATGAAATACTTTTTTTAAGTAATCGTTATTATATATAAATATATCTTAATAAATTTAATTCCTTAAGGTAGAGCGTGTTCAAATTTAAAATCTCATACAATATTTTCTTAATGGCGTATTTTTTCTGAGGTCGCCCAAATAAAGGCGAATTCAAAATTGAGAACTCCAAGGCGTATGGCGAGTATTCAAAAAGTACGTCACTTACAAAATATTGAATGTGGATTATCAATTTTTTGGCTGTTCAATTTTCAAATTTTGATATTTATGTTTATTTTATTCAGTATAATGCTAAGAATTAAAATATAAAATTCATAGAATTTTTCTTTGAAAATATTTTACATTTTTATTAGACCACTCCTAGACTAGTCATCAGGTTATCCTCAGATCATCCTCAGACTACTCCTTATCAGATTACTCATCATCCTCAGACTACTCCTTAGACCCCTCCTCATCAGACTACTCCTCAGATCTTCCTCATAAGACTCCTCCTCAGATCTTCCTCCTGAGACTACTCTTCAGACTACTCCTTAGAGTCCTCCTCATCAAACTAGTCCTGAGACTAGTCCTCAGACTACTCCTGAAACTACTCCTCAGATTATCCGCAGACTCCTCCTCAGATTATCCTCAAACTACTCCTCAGTCTAATCCTCAGACTCCTCCTCAGATTATGCTCAGATTATCCTCAGACTACTCCTCAAACTCCTCAGTCTAATCCTCAGACTCCTCCTCAGATTATGCTCAGATTATCCTCAAACTCCTCAGATTATCCTCAGATTATCCTCAAACTCCTCAGACTACTCCTCGGTCTAATCCTCAGACTCCTCCTCAGATTATCCTCAGACTACTCAAACTACTCCTCGGTCTAATCCTCAGACTCCTCCTCAGATTATCCTCAGACTACTCAGATTATCCTCAAACTCCTCAGACTACTCCTCGGTCTAATCCTCAGACTCCTCCTCAGATTATCCTCAGATTATCACTTTACATATATATATCGATAAATAAATAATTACTTATTATACTTTCTTTCTTTTTTTTTAATTTTAAAATAATATTAATATATCTTTCTACGTTTAATGATGAAAAGAGAAAGAGGAGTAAAAAGAGGAAAGAGAAAAGAAAGAGAGAGAGAAAAAAAAAGAGAAAGAAAGAAAGGAAAAAAAAGGACGGCGATAATTTTGTATTGTTTTGTTATTCGGCCGAATAGCGGGTACGAAGTAGCCGCCATTCGGCCCCAAAAATGGCGTATTATTCTATTTTTAAACGGTCATGGCGTAAAACCGTCGCATCCCTACTCTATTTAATATAACAATAAAATAGCATCTTTAAATTTTTTCTCGAATAATGGGGAATACTGGTGTTTCCCCCAATGCGAGCGCGAGCGAACGCGAACACGAGATGATAGCGATTATTTTCCTCTCAATTCCTCTAAATTATAGCGAGTGAGCGCGAGCGAGCACTTTTTCCCTTATATGGGAAGCATATAAATCCATAGGCATATGCACCATTGCAAAACTATCTTATAAGACATTGATTTATTTACAAATTTCAGATAAAATGCATTTTTTAATTGAAATTTCATCAAATATATTTGCAAACTAATAAGACAAGAAATTCTCTTCAAAAAAGAAGTACTCACACATTTGGCTAGTAATTTAATTAAAAAAGAAATAAAAAATCAACTTCCGTCTCATTATCTTTGATAATTTTTCATGCCAAACCAAATTAGAGAGTATCAAACTTTAAAAACCGGAATATCTTGTCTATGCTTTAAATATTATCATAAAATAGAGTAGATTTTTCAACTATTTCGAATACGGCATAATTTCAAAAATACAATTCTGATTCAGCAGTATATAACAAATTGAATTCATTATTGATGTAAGCAAAAACACAAGAGTTTAATGACTAATTATCGATGATTTTTATCCTTATTCTATTCAAATAAAAAATTTTCTTTTGATATACACCGAAGGATCAGGCGAGAAATAATGCATCATGATAAGATTGCAAACCAAACCATTAATTAAATTTTTTGGTTCACAATAAATTTAATTTAACAATTCGCTACGGCGAACTTTGATTTTCCGAGGTGCAATGAATTTCAAATCAAATCAATACAAGAAAGTATGCTATCCTTCAAATGCGAGCTTGAAAATACGTGAGTTACAAAATAAATTTCGATTATATACAATGTATAGACGAATTAGACAAACATGATAATATATCTATTTTCATCTTGCTATTACCTCTTTTTTTTGTGTAATATTCATAATAAATTTCATAATCTTTTTATTTGCCACAAATGAATATATTGAGATGTTACCAAAAAAAAAAAAAAAAAAAAAAAAAAAAAAAAAAAAAAAAAGGTAGTGGGGCTTCCAGGCACTTCGTGCCTTCTAGCCCCGTTGATGTTTAGTATAAAATGAAAGTCTTTACGAAGAAGAACTTTACAAAACATAGACAAGAAAGTTCATGAGGAACTCTCAACAAAGTCTTTACGAAGAAGAACTTTACAAAGTCTTTACGATGAACTCTCAACAAAGTCTTTACGAAGAAGAACTTTACAAAACATAGACAAGAAAGTTCATGAGAAAGTCTTTACAAAGTCTTTACGAAGAAGTCTTTACAAAGTCTTTACGAAGAAGTCTTTACAAAGTCTTTACGATGAACTCTCAACAAAGTCTTTACAAAGTCTTTACAAAACATAGACAAGAAAGTTCATGAGAAAGTCTTTACAAAGTCTTTACGAAGAAGTCTTTACAAAACATAGACAAGAAAGTTCTTGACAAAGTCTTTACGATGAAGAAGTCTTTACAAAACATAGACAAGAAAGTTCTTGACAAAGTCTTTACGAAGAAGTCTTTACAAAACATAGACAAGAAAGTTCTTGACAAAGTCTTTACGATGAAGAAGTCTTTACAAAACATAGACAAGAAAGTTCTTGACAAAGTCTTTACGATGAAGAACTTTACAAAACATAGACAAGAAAGTTCATGAGGAAGTCTCAAAAGATCTTTACGATGAAGAACTTTACAAAACATAGACAAGAAAGTTCATGAGGAAGTCTCAACAAAGTCTTTACGATGAAGAACTTTAAAAACATAGACAAGAAAGTTCATGAGGAAGTCTCAACAAAGTCTTTACGATGAAGAACATTACAAAACTTCATCGTCAATGAGTGTAAATCAGGCAAAAATATATTTTAGGGTAGATGGTTAGATCTAACCTGTTTTCTAACCTCATTTCTACCCTCTTGAATTTCATGAACTTTCTCAACAAAGTCTTTACGATGAAGAACTTTACAAAACATAGACAAGAAAGTTCATGAGAAAGTCTTTACAAAGTCTTTACGATGAAGAACTTTACAAAACATAGACAAGAAAGTTCATGAGAAGTCTTTACGATGAAGAACTTTAAAAACATAGACAAGAAAGTTCATGAGAAAGTCTTTACGATGAAGAACTTTACAAAACATAACAAGAAAGTTCATGAAAATTCACGAGGGTAGAAAAAGGTTAGAAAACAGGTTAGATCAACCATCTACCCTAAAAATATATTTTGGGTCCTTTACAAAGTCTTTACGATGAAGAACTTTACAAAACATTGACAAGAAATTGACAAGAAAGTTCATGAGAAAGTCTTTACAAGTCTTTACGAAGAAGTCTCAACAAAAAATTGACAAGAAAGTTCATGAAATTCAAGAGGGTAGAAAGTGTCATATAAACATCTGTCGAAAACCGCTTTTAACTTCACTTAAAATGCCACGTAAGCTACGTAAGAATATACTAAGAGGAAGGAGCATTGAAACATCCAATAGTAAGACTGACACCACAACAACAGTTGCAACAACAAATGCTGAATGACCCCACTATGTTGCAACAAATGTCAAGCAATCCTATGCTTTTAAACCGAGTTGTTGGTGCACAGAGTGGAGGTTTAAGAGCGGCACTTTTAGCGAAAATGGCAGGCTATGGTGGAGCTGCAGACGGAACAGCCTATAACCCTCAAAGTCAAATGAATTTGAGTTCACTCAAAAATCAATAGCAGATGTCAAAAAGTCAAACATAGACATACAGAAGCAAATAGGTGAAAACGAAAAGAAACTAGAATATGACAGACACACAAAGAAATCAATGAGTTAAACGTAGAGAAAAAGAAGAAAGAAGAACAACTGAAAGAACTAAGTACAGAGGAATATGCGAAAAAAGTGTCAGAAAAAGCAACAGAAGTAGCAAAAATGGAACAAGATGTCATAAATTTGAAAACCATACTACTCGATATAAAGTACTGAAAGTGAAGAGATAAAAACAAAAAGCCCTGAAGACATATATGGATAGCGATGAGTATAAAAAAGGAAGTTGAAGCAAATGTAAAGGCAGAAAAACTTTTACAGTTGCAAAACCAAACCGTACAGTATGAAAACTTAGCACAAGAAAGTAAAAATAACGACGCGGCTATGCAAAAGGCAATGAAAAGCGCAGAATATATAAAAGCTAACAATGACTGGTTAGATGCCCAAGCCAACGCTAAAGCAGCCCAACTTATAGGGTCAATAAGGACAAAAATACAAGCGGATGAAGACAGTTCAAATGAAACTTTAACAAATGCTGACTTTAAGAACGCCTTCGAAGCTCTTCATAGTAAGGTGAAACAAGTGAACGACTTCTCATCTGGAAAGAAACTGAAGTCTGAAGGTTTCGACAAAGAGTTAAAAGAAGTAGCACAAAATATGACGAAAATAACAGATGCAGCAACGAGACAGGCAGTTCAAAGTGCCTATGACGCCGTTAGAGCAACTGTTGTGAAAAGTCAAGAAAAAGAGTTACAACAGACCAAAACAGACCTAGTAAATGCTTTCTTAAGAACGAAAAGTCAGGTAGGACATTACGCTGCAGATGGAACATATGTGCCAGCTGGTGGAACTTATATACCACCAAACCCTCCAAGAGAAGCACCTGCACCAGGACTACCTAAAACATTTACATCGTCACATGGACACAGACACAGGCATGCACAACAACCAACACAACAACAACAACAACCAGCACAACAACCAACAGTTCAAAACACTGCACCACAACCAACAGTTCAAAACACTGCACCACAACAACCACAACAACCAGCACAGCAACCAACAGTTCAAAACCCTGCACAACAACAACCACAAACAGAGCAAGGACATAAAAGAAGTAGAGAACAAGGAAACCAAGAATTCTTAAAAATGCTTAAAGAAGAGTGTGGTTTCCCAGATACTGTTGACTTTAGTGACAGATATAAAGAAGCTATTGGAAAGTTCAAGGAGGGAAATACTGACCCGAACCTATTTAGCTTTATGGCTCAGCACCAAAACGGATATAATCTCAAACCTGGAAAATACAAGCTCGCTAAGGGATATGATTTAATAGCATATCATCCAAATGACATGGATGAATTTACTCCGAGATATTTGATGTCAGAGCTAAATGACAATTCAACTTTCGTCATGAAACGCGTAAAAAATAGAGACGGAACGAAAGAACAAAAGCTTATGAATGCGGATGACGTAGATAGGGAAATTGTTGAAAACGGTCTCGGAATATATGAAATGCCAGCAGATGAGGTACAAGAAAACTCCACAGGAAGAAGTTCAGATACAACCAGACATGGAAGAAATAGTTCAGCAACAACAGCTAGAGAAGCCTGAAGGAAACGAACAAGTCACTCCTTTGAAACTAACTTCACAGAACTAGATGAAGATTTGGAACAGCCGAAAAATCTTGACCCTCAACAAGAGTATGCGGAGAATATGGAATATTTCAAGAGTCTAAAAAAAATTCGGCTGACATAGTAGAAGAATAGAAAAATGTTTGCCGACATACAAAGACTCCAGCACCAGATGAAAATATTCAGCATAGAATGGAAGTACTGAAAGAAAATGTACCAAATACAACAACCCTTTTTACTTACGAGCATTTAACGTTCAATCTTCGGATGAACTCGGTGAAAATAAAAGGTTAAATTTCAAGAAAACATATAGAAATGAAACATTGTTTAAAGTTCATTCAGAACCTAACCAAGATGGAAACAAACCTACTTTTGTTTCTGCAGACGATGGAACTACAATGAGATGGGGTCATAAAGCTAACCGGATAGGTGGTTCATAAACTTACAACCACAATTCCAAGAAGTTGTAGACGCAATGGAAGTGAATGGTGAACCAGATATAGCTGGTATTTTCAGCGCGGCTTTAATGCCATTGAAAGATATGAAAGATGCAGATATTTTGACCAGTATGAAATGAACATGGCTGATGGAAATATAACACCTGACGTTCTAGAACATTTATCTCAAAGAACTACACAGAACCATAGAGATGGTATATTTGGTGAAGAGTTTAGAAAGAAATTAGGGAGATAGAAGGAAGGAACCTATTGTACATGACCTTGCAAACGAAAGTTTACAAAATGTCATAAAAACTTACTTTGCAGACAATGAACCGAGAAGGGATGAATATTTAAGAAAACTCAAATGGACAGTACCAAATGAAATGTTAGTATTGAAAAACATGTTCCTTGACAAAATAAAACCAACTACAGAAATAAACGACGCAAGACTGAAAGATTGGGTAAAAGCTTTCCCATTCACAAAAGATATAGTTGGTAACTGGAAAGAAACCAGAATGGCTACAAAAACATATATTTGGAAACGAGCATATTCCATATGGACAGGCACTGTTTGGAGAGCTTGAACCGGAAACTCAGGAAAGAGTCATGCAAACAATACGCGAAGACTCAAATACAGACTATGACAAACTCTTTCTAGGATATAGGTTACCTGAGATGGGCGACCAGAGCCAAAAAGCAAAAAGGACATGGGAATTTGCAACATACTAGTGAACATAATGCAAAGATGCAACAACTTCAAGCAGAGGGCAATGAAGAAAAAGAAGAGTTAAAAACTCAGTCAGGAAGAAAGTAAAGCTTGGTCCACGTGGTTCTATTATGACATATAAATCCAACTATTCTATATTTTTACTCATATGAAATGTACGCCGCTCAGAATATAACGCCAACAGTTTTGGATGCATATAATATTAATCTCGTTTGATGGTATAACGAATGCGACAATGCCATTAGAAGGTCAGAAATAGTTCCTGGAACTTACGAATATACACTTGGTTGTTCATCTCTTCTTCTTTTTGTGTATCACTGAGTATTGGCATTCACACCGGCCGTGTTAAATGCGGCATGTGTGGTACATTGTATTCAGTTTTTGATATCTTCGGTGAGACAGCACAAAGTGCTATTAAACTTTGTGAATTCTGTCCTCCTTGGTTAGTCCACATTAGTGAGCGAACATACAACGACATCAAGTACTTTAACTACAAAATCAAAGATGTCGGAACTGAAAATAACAATCACACATATTTAGTTTCTAATAATAATAACTTTGAATAAAATTATTTTCTTTGTTTGTATTATTAAATTATATAACCATTTTATTTATTTACATGTTTTTGATCCTTAAATTCTTTATTTGATTTGCATGTGATACCATTGATAATTTCTGCAAAAAATTATGATTAATTATGGCCAGAACCACACTAATTACTTATTCCATAATGTATTGATATCGTTCTTCTGGCTTGAAAAACTCTTATAAAAGGCAATTGTTTTGAGGATATGTCTATAAAGAACTAATAACTGGCGATTGTGATTTGTTTCAACAGCCGTTGTTCACGACGAAAATAACAACTTGTGACACATTTGAAATCATTCTCCAGATAACAAGTTGTTAATGGTGAATTGACATTTTGCCATACTTTCAATTTTGCAAATGTCAAAAGTTTGATAGAAAAACACTCGTTTTTGGATCATAATTTACATTTTACATTATTTGCTATCGAATAACTGCCATTCCTCTTTTAGATCAAAGTGAAGAGTGGTTAAAATGATTACATTAACGATTAGTCGATTCATCAACTACATACATTTCTCTCTATTTTCCACAATGCGTGGGAAGATTTCTTTGACTCAACATTCGAACACACTCCATACCGAAATGAAAGCAAAAAGCTCGATGATAGTTCAGGGAATAGCTATTACGTCTCTCTTTGTCTTTTTATTTACCTTAATGAGACAGGTGCAATTCGTATCACCGCTGAACCAGGCAACAATTTCAAATTCCTCATTGACACAAGCTCTTTTTACAAATGTATGCACAAGAGCGAAGATGGTGGCTCATTATATGTAAAAATTAATAACGGTGACTGTGTTCAAGACAGAATCTGCAGTTTTGGCTCTAAAACAGTCAATGAATTGGGTGTCTATTGTTATATATTATACGAAGAAGATTCTACATTGAAGAACTATCTCCTTGATTCAACAATGACTTCAAGTGGAGAAGATATCACACAAGGGGAAGGAACAGTTTGTCTGATTTGCGGTGAAACACATATGAGATCAATCAATATTTCATATTCAAAACTTAATGATTATTGTATCTACCATGTTTATAGTAGTTTTTCCTCGAATGTGACACTTTCAACATTTTCAAACAACACGGGCGGTCCGATTGGTCGTCTTATATTATCAGGATCACCAGAACCTGAATTATATATTCTTTTTTGTAATATCTTCGAAAATGAAGGAACTACCTTAATTCAGAATTTCTACGTTATCTATGTAATGAATTGCAGTTTTTATGAAAATAATATTACCGAAGTGCTATGAAAACTCCAAAAACCAGGTGTTTTTCCAGAACTACCATCTAGGATGAGTCCTAGGAGCTATAATTCTAGGGTTAGATGATACCCACTTAGTACTTTTATTTGTATATGTTTTAGTGGAATTTGGTGAGGGGTCATGAAATTCGTATCTAATTTGCTATCATCTAAGCTGGTAAAAGTTAGAGAAAGCTATTTACTGGTTGTATATTACAAATATACCTTGTAATAGAAAATATAAGTGTTTGTGATTTAAATTCGCTCAATTAGCTCGAAAATTTGTTTTATATCCATGACAAACTAACACAATCCTATTTATGTGATTGCCAATCTGTTCCCAAAATATATCAGCATGAATATATATATATTGATATTATTTGCAATTTCATCATTAAATAGTACTTTTTTTTCTATTTTTAATTTAGAAATAGTATATTTATATGATAGCGACACAAGATTTTAATTAAAAAATATATGTTATCGATCATCACACTCAAATTGAATTTCAAAAATTTTAGAATTTTTCAATTTCAATATTGAAAATATATTTCTTATATCATAGCGATTCATGTTATAATAATATGGAGAAAAATATTGTTTTAAATCTAAAATTTAAAATGAATGATTGGGCATTACATTAATCCAATTTATTGTTTATTTGTTAATCTAGTGGAAACAATTAATATTTTGGAGAAACAAAAATTTGAAATTTGAAATTTTGAAAAAAATGCATGAATCGGTAATTAAACATTGATTTATTAATTTATTAGCCATGCTTTTGATGTTGGTCTTATTCTTAAGCCGATTTAAAGAATTAATTTTTCCAAATCGTGTTTGACATTAACACATATAGATATATCAGGAAAAAAGGTATCACTTATCAAGTTATTGGTTTTTATGTATCTCCTAACTTTGCCTCGTTCTGAATACAATTCTAGTTAACGAATTTTAAATAACTATATGAAGAATACATCATTTTGGTTTTATTATTATTAAAATGATATATATTAGCTATGTATATGCTTGTAAGAATATTATTCCGTGAATTGGAAACAGAAAAAATAAATTTAGACAGAAAATGCATATCTTTAAAAAATAATATGAAATTTAGCTTTGATATTATTATCCGATAAAATATGCATGATAATTACTCCGCAAATAAAATTTAGGAAGCAAGTTGTGACGGTTTGGGGGTTTTCAATGGCCCACAAGGAAGGAAGTATCGTTTTATCAGGCAACAAGAGGTCTTGAAATGAGTAAAGGACTGATCACCCTTGAAAGGTTCAAACTTGCTTGCGCGCCGCAGTCTTAAAAATGATATGTTTCACTTCTGGTCGAAAATTTCAACCTCTATGACAGTTGTTGGATGAACAATTGTGTAGCGGGATGAAATCTGAGTGCGGCCTGGGGCTGCAGCATCAATCTTCCCGGCATCTTTACCGCAATCATCTCTTAGATTGCACACAAAGTTGCGAACGAGCAGTTTTCTATGCGGTAAAGATGCCGGTAAAAGAGAGCCGTAGTGATTCTCTGCTGCAGCGTCAATCTTCCCGGCATCTTTACCGCAATCATCTCTTAGATTGCACACAAAGTTGCGAACGAGCAGTTTTCTATGCGGTAAAGATGCCGGAAAGAGAGAGTCGATGTGAGGTTCTTTTCGAGGGCTCCTCGAATGAGACACTGTTCCACATTGATAACTTGAACGCGGAAGTTTGACCGACAAGAGTGTATTGTGCACTCCTGTCGGTCGCAGTGTCTCATTCTGGGAGACATTCTCTGCATGTCTCCCAGAATGGAACAATGTTCCGCATTGATAACTTGAACGCGGAAGTTTGACCGACAAGAGTGTATTGTGCACTCCTGTCGGTCGCAGTGTCTCATTCTGGGAGACATTGCCTCTGCATGTCTCCCAGAATGGAACAATGTTCCGCATTGATAACTTGAACGCGGAAGTTTGACCGACAAGAGTGTATTGTGCACTCCTGTCGGTCGCAGTGTCTCATTCTGGGAGACATTGCCTCTGCATGTCTCCCAGAATGGAACAATGTTCCGCATTGATAACTTGAACGCGGAAGTTTGACCGACAAGAGTGTATTGTGCACTCCTGTCGGTCGCAGTGTCTCATTCTGGGAGACATTGCCTCTGCATGTCTCCCAGAATGGAACAATGTTCCGCATTGATAACTTGAACGCGGAAGTTTGACCGACAAGAGTGTATTGTGCACTCCTGTCGGTCGCAGTGTCTCATTCTGGGAGACATTGCCTCTGCATGTCTCCCAGAATGGAACAATGTTCCGCATTGATAACTTGAACGCGGAAGTTTGACCGACAAGAGTGTATTGTGCACTCCTGTCGGTCGCAGTGTCTCATTCTGGGAGACATTCCTCTGCATGTCTCCCAGAATGGAACAATGTTCCGCATTGATAACTTGAACGCGGAAGTTTGACCGACAAGAGTGTATTGTGCACTCCTGTCGGTCGCAGTGTCTCATTCTGGGAGACATTGCCTCTGCATGTCTCCCAGAATGGAACAATGTTCCGCATTGATAACTTGAACGCGGAAGTTTGACCGACAAGAGTGTATTGTGCACTCCTGTCGGTCGCAGTGTCTCATTCTGGGAGACATTGCCTCTGCATGTCTCCCAGAATGGAACAATGTTCCGCATTGATAACTTGAACGCGGAAGTTTGACCGACAAGAGTGTATTGTGCACTCCTGTCGGTCGCAGTGTCTCATTCTGGGAGACATTGCCTCTGCATGTCTCCCAGAATGGAACAATGTTCCGCATTGATAACTTGAACGCGGAAGTTTGACCGACAAGAGTGTATTGTGCACTCCTGTCGGTCGCAGTGTCTCATTCTGGGAGACATTGCCTCTGCATGTCTCCCAGAATGGAACAATGTTCCGCATTGATAACTTGAACGCGGAAGTTTGACCGACAAGAGTGTATTGTGCACTCCTGTCGGTCGCAGTGTCTCATTCTGGGAGACATTGCCTCTGCATGTCTCCCAGAATGGAACAATGTTCCGCATTGATAACTTGAACGCGGAAGTTTGACCGACAAGAGTGTATTGTGCACTCCTGTCGGTCGCAGTGTCTCATTCTGGGAGACATTGCCTCTGCATGTCTCCCAGAATGGAACAATGTTCCGCATTGATAACTTGAACGCGGAAGTTTGACCGACAAGAGTGTATTGTGCACTCCTGTCGGTCGCAGTGTCTCATTCTGGGAGACATTGCCTCTGCATGTCTCCCAGAATGGAACAATGTTCCGCATTGATAACTTGAACGCGGAAGTTTGACCGACAAGAGTGTATTGTGCACTCCTGTCGGTCGCAGTGTCTCATTCTGGGAGACATTGCCTCTGCATGTCTCCCAGAATGGAACAATGTTCCGCATTGATAACTTGAACGCGGAAGTTTGACCGACAAGAGTGTATTGTGCACTCCTGTCGGTCGCAGTGTCTCATTCTGGGAGACATTGCCTCTGCATGTCTCCCAGAATGGAACAATGTTCCGCATTGATAACTTGAACGCGGAAGTTTGACCGACAAGAGTGTATTGTGCACTCCTGTCGGTCGCAGTGTCTCATTCTGGGAGACATTGCCTCTGCATGTCTCCCAGAATGGAACAATGTTCCGCATTGATAACTTGAACGCGCGGAAGTTTGACCGACAAGAGTGTATTGTGCACTCCTGTCGGTCGCAGTGTCTCATTCTGGGAGACATTCCTCTGCATGTCTCCCAGAATGGAACAATGTTCCGCATTGATAACTTGAACGCGGAAGTTTGACCGACAAGAGTGTATTGTGCACTCCTGTCGGTCGCAGTGTCTCATTCTGGGAGACATTGCCTCTGCATGTCTCCCAGAATGGAACAATGTTCCGCATTCATAACTTGAACGCGGAAGTTTGACCGACAAGAGTGTATTGTGCACTCCTGTCGGTCGCAGTGTCTCATTCTGGGAGACATTTGCCTCTGCATGTCTCCCAGAATGGAACAATGTTCCGCATTGATAACTTGAACGCGGAAGTTTGACCGACAAGAGTGTATTGTGCACTCCTGTCGGTCGCAGTGTCTCATTCTGGGAGACATTGCCTCTGCATGTCTCCCAGAATGGAACAATGTTCCGCATTGATAACTTGAACGCGGAAGTTTGACCGACAAGAGTGTATTGTGCACTCCTGTCGGTCGCAGTGTCTCATTCTGGGAGACATTGCCTCTGCATGTCTCCCAGAATGGAACAATGTTCCGCATTGATAACTTGAACGCGGAAGTTTGACCGACAAGAGTGTATTGTGCACTCCTGTCGGTCGCAGTGTCTCATTCTGGGAGACATTGCCTCTGCATGTCTCCCAGAATGGAACAATGTTCCGCATTGATAACTTGAACGCGGAAGTTTGACCGACAAGAGTGTATTGTGCACTCCTGTCGGTCGCAGTGTCTCATTCTGGGAGACATTGCCTCTGCATGTCTCCCAGAATGGAACAATGTTCCGCATTGATAACTTGAACGCGGAAGTTTGACCGACAAGAGTGTATTGTGCACTCCTGTCGGTCGCAGTGTCTCATTCTGGGAGACATTGCCTCTGCATGTCTCCCAGAATGGAACAATGTTCCGCATTGATAACTTGAACGCGGAAGTTTGACCGACAAGAGTGTATTGTGCACTCCTGTCGGTCGCAGTGTCTCATTCTGGGAGACATTGCCTCTGCATGTCTCCCAGAATGGAACAATGTTCCGCATTGATAACTTGAACGCGGAAGTTTGACCGACAAGAGTGTATTGTGCACTCCTGTCGGTCGCAGTGTCTCATTCTGGGAGACATTGCCTCTGCATGTCTCCCAGAATGGAACAATGTTCCGCATTGATAACTTGAACGCGGAAGTTTGACCGACAAGAGTGTATTGTGCACTCCTGTCGGTCGCAGTGTCTCATTCTGGGAGACATTGCCTCTGC